GAACATGCGTTAAGTTTTCCACCGACACAGTGAAACGGTCTCGCGCGCGCGCGCGCTCGTGTGCGTATGCTCGACCCGTTGACACGAGTAATGCGAGTAAAGGAAGCCGTGTTATACACGGACAACGATCGAGAAAGATCTCGCGCGCAGCACGCACGCACGCACGTACGTATGCGCACGCACCACACACGGAGGAAACGTTCGCAAATCAAACGACGCATACCCATCCGTCGCACACGGATAAGCTCGCGCGCGCGCGCGCGCCACATACACACGCACGCGAGAAGCACGGCGGCGTTAAACTGGCAGGCACCGCACACGCGAGTGACGCGAGACGATCGAGAGACAGAGAAGATAATGTGACAACTATCCCAAAAATATCGCTCGCCGAGAGACACGCGTTTCGCGCGTATCGTTAAGCGCGACGTCCCGTCGGCCGTCTCGGGCGAGGTGGCGCCGAGGCCGCGGCGCCCCACGGCACGTCATGCGGCGCGCCGTTATTTTTGACTGATAAAATATCTCGCCAAAATGCCCGCGCGAGACTACATGTCATGCGGAGGTGTGTGTGAGAGAGAGAGAGAGAGAGAGATGCACGAACACCAACCAGTACCTACTTCGGTCTTGGATTTTCATGCGGGGGAGAATCAGTGTCCGTCCGCTCTCTCGTAATTTCGTTACCTCCGACACGGACCCAGTCATACTAGCCTCTCGCGGTTGCGTCAACGAAACGGCATTCGTTAAATCCTTTTAGCCAGCCGGTACTCACATTTGTCTTGATGAAAAATTCGCCCCGACTACACCCAAATAACTACCATTTTTTTCCACCACTGAACGCTACGCACTCTCACGGTGCTATGCGCAAAGCGGCAGTATGCACTAATCGACGTAGCTCGGGCGTCTGACGGAGTGGCCCGAAACGTGTCGTCGGATCTCGCGTGTATACGATGCTAGGTGGCGTCCTTGCAGATTGTCCACGAATGCATCGAGTACATAGAACGGAACGTGTATTATCGATTCTGTCAATTAGGGTGTAACTGCAATAGGTGGAATGAGGAATGAGAAAAATTTCAACCCATCAGAAACTAGTTCCAGCGTAACTCTCTCTTTCTCTCTCTCTCTCTCTCTGGATCCAATTTTGAATAAGTTGAAACCCACAAATCATCAAGCATTCTTAGGCCGGTATTCATAGTCAATTCTTATATTCAAGATCGTCTTAAGAACAGTCTTAAGATGTCATGAACCAATCCGGTATTCGCGTCTTAAGACATTACTTAAGACAGTCTTCAAATAAGAACCGACTATGAATACCGGCCTTAATAAGCATCAATGTTCTAGAAGATATTTTTCTTGGTATGGCTTGCGAAACAATTTTCATACTTTTTACTTCTGACTTGATGGACAATAATTTGACTGATTAATTATATTATTGTGTATATTAATGCCGTATTTTAATATCATCATTTATTGTTTTTTTTTTTTTTTTAAATATAACAAGCGTTATCATTGTATTTATACATCATCAAGCATTTTTCGAAATTGAAAAGAAAAATGACCAACGGCGTAAGCAGAACGCTCGCGCGAGAGCGCGCGCATGAAAATCCACCTGCCTGTGCGAAACCGGCGCCTACAGCGCGATTCGGTTTGACCGTCTCGCCGATATCTCAGGTTTCTCAGGATTGTTCGTGCTCGTCTGCGATACCCGCGATAGCCTCTGTGTGTTGGTCCGCGCGCGGACATGCGGATACGTTCGTTTGTTCTCGCCGTTTGCTCTACTGTTATGTAGATGCCACCATGAGAACGATTAGTGTTAGCTGAAAGTAATCTCGGAGTTGTAACGGTTGACGAACGGCGCGAGGACGGTGTCGCGGGAAAATGACTTCTTTCGTGCCGTCGAGAGTCTAGGAAATTCATGAAATTAAAGAAGCGAAAGAGTCTGTGCGCGCAGTGCGTGAATATGCCCGCCAAGGTCTCGAAGAAGGTCGTGGGCATGATCATACGAAGCCGAAAGTCCATTATGAAGGATGGAGTCATCACGGTACCTATGAGTTTCGTTACATTTCACTCATCCGCACCGCACCGCACCGCACTCACTTCTATCATTATCTCCGATCCCCCTCCCTCTCTTCCCTTTGGCGGCGCCCGAGCCGCTCTGCTACCCTAGGCCACCCTCTCACTCCGACATTCACAGCATACCTGCCTCTGCTCGTGTTTGCCTACATCGCTTTTATCTCGAGTCCCATTTTATCTACACGTAATGTCGCATGATTGGTACTAACGAGAACCTCTGCTCGTGACACCGTACATGGAGCACTTGTACCTCGACGAAACACCTGGCCGAAAATATATTCATAATCGTCTTTTACACATTGCAAACAATTTTTGCAATCTTTTTGCAATATTTCTGCAAGTCGCAATAAAATGGAGACATTTAATATCCGTGAGCTCGTAATTCTTGACACATATTTTATATATCTGCATACATGTAAATTATTTTTTAAACAGACGTGACAAAACATATGTACACGTATGTATGTGTATATTTAGTACAGTCCAGGGTGTTTGAGCGAATATTATCTCAAAAATTGACATCTTTGTTATTTCCATACTTATTTCATTTTGCGTTATATTCTTTTCTATCTCATGCGAAATTGGATGCAGGATAATTGTAAGAAAAATGTACCAATTAATGCAGCTTATTTACATAACCTATATGACGTGTTATCAGCTGATTAGACCATTTAATTTTATAAACACGTTTGCTTGTAAATTATACAAAGGACATCTGATGCATGGAAGGAGAAATTGAACAGACAAAGAAAAGATAATCTGTCGTATTCCAACTGTGATTTCAAGTTTGATTTATAATTTCTAGACATATGTAAATCTTAATAGAAAGAGATAAATTTTGTTTACAATTTTTGTTTTCGTGATCAATATTGAGGTGAGCAATTTATTTATGTCACGTTTTATAATCAATATTCAGCAAACCACTCAAATCTTTAATATATTTATCCTATTTAGGACCGGGCATATATTTGCGATACTCATAATTTAAAACACAGTTTTTGCAATATAAGTGTATTTTATATTTTGCGTTTCAGCAGGGCACAAAAATATTACGTATTTTGTATTTAAAATCGAAAGATTGAAAGTTTTACATATTTTGTAATTCAAACAAGATACAAAGTACTTCCAATCTTTCGTTATTAATACACACACTGTATGAAATACAAAATACTTTTATATACTTCCATGAAATATAAAATAAAATTATTTTGAATATATATATGCCCCCAGTCCTGAATATAAATTAAATTAGTTTCTTTCCGTTGCTTAGTCCAATGGAAAAAAAAAAGTGATCCATTGGTGAATTTTTTCGGCTAGTAGCCGTTGTAACTATTAAACTGAGATTTTGCCAAAGGTTATTCTATATTTTGACTTAAAAAAAAAAATCAAGAGATAAAATGGATGTTATTCCACGACACTGTTTATCGTATATTGTCAGCGTCACATATGTATACATACACATATATACATATTTTTTACGTGCGTGTGTACGCGTCACTACATGTGCATATAGTGCATAAACAGGCAAGTATCGCGCGCATCGATCAATTATTCGACAATGCGTTCCCGTATACGCTAACAATTGACCATAATGGACCACCACGCGAACTGATGTTACCGCAGCGTATGTGAAATCTTTCTTTCGCGATGCCGAAGGAACCGCGAGCCTGGAGCAAGCGAATCGCGCCAGCTGTTGAGGCCATTGTTAGGTTAGGAGTCGAGCCCGGAGTTAGCCCGAAGAGACTGTACCGTTAAATCGTGACGTTGGGGAGGGGATGAAGGAGCAGTTGCGATGCGGAGGTTTGATTCCCCGCGTGAACCGTCCCGCGCGACGTGAATGGACCGCGCGAGGGGTTGACGGCAATGACGGCGCGTCGAAGGGTCTCGGCTGGAAATATGTGATCGTCCGGGATCTCGTCGTAGCAGCCGCCGTACGCGAACGACCGTGGTTTCTAAGAATAGAGATACGTGACAGAGGGTGACAAGGAGAGGGGGTGAGAAACAGAGAGGGAAGGAGAGACTAGACGGTCGGAAAGAAAGGGAGGAAGAGACTCCGTCCGTGTCGCGAAGCCGCTCCGGGTCGCACGAGAAGACCCCAGAAAAGACTCCCGATCGTCGCGCGTTGCCGTCTGCCGACCTGCAGGGAGAGTGCCTGCGTGGAGTGCCCCGTCGCCGACCTCGCGTCCCCGCGGATCTCTGTGACGTCACGCGCGTCGCGACCGATCAAGGCCGCGCGCGCGAGTCGACCCCCTGAGCTCGGGGAAGCCAGCGTCCACCTCGGTTCACGATATCGTTCACCTCGTGCACTCCATTTATCTTGAAGGAGAATCTCTGTCACTGGAGGAGAGATGCGTGAAAATTATCACTTTACTATCGGGGCTGTAACTCCTTCACTTTACTCTTCGGATCTCATAACTTGCCAAGAAATCTAATGACGCCACTGATCTGGCACTGTACGCAAGACAGCGTTACAGGACTAATTATGTCATATGACTCGGTAATTACGGAATTATTTTTAAGTAATATAAAATGTGCGCATTGAGATTGAATGGATTTTAAGTGGATGCCGTGGAAGATTGCGCTAGCTTGAGTCTTGCACTGCCATAATAAAGTTCAAAACGTTGACAACCGATTGTCAGAAAGATTGATTATGTCACGTTCTCATAAATATAATTGCAAACGAGGAAGCGCAGAGTGACAGCAGAGCGATTTATTGTATTTCACGATTGAATAATATTTCTTACTTAAATCTCAACACAGAGGAATGTACAAAGGAAGCGTGTAAATAATATTTGCAAAAATAATAGTAAATAGATGTAAAAGCCGACCGGTTTTACTGAAGTGATATAAATCGTTAAATCAAAGTTTTGTATTAATATAAACATTATCGACATAATAGACATGAGAAATAAATATCTAGTGAAGACAGATATACTGCTTCGTTGTAACAATCTCATTTATAACGTAAATATAATGTCAGCAAATCAAACGGTCATGACAATATGACTGATGAAGACTACTTGTAAAATAATTAGGATAAGATGTAGTGGAATGCATACACAATACACGCATTTCAGTCATGGTGCAATATCTTACCTATTTTAGATGTTACATTAGAAAAGCTATGAAAAATTATGCGGACTTGACGATCCAAGCGAACAAACTACAAATAATATTGAATTACAAATTAAAATTTAATGCAAAACTGTGGAAACAGTGCACTATTATGACATTGGGAGAAGATTGTCTATCTTTTTATCGCATACTCGTAAGCGGAATGACTACAAAAGTAGCGATTAAAACGTGAGAATATGAGAGGAAATATATATAGCGACATTTTTTAGGGGTCATGCCCCCTGGGGCAAGCAGTGGAACAGAGGGCTTGGGCCCGACCTGTTCTGAAATACATAACAATCAAGATCATGCTACAGCCAAACTTACACCTCCCCCTACATTCGTTCAACAATGCTACAGACACCTCAAGGTCAGCTGCTAAAATATCATAAGTTTATCACTTGTGGTATATGCAGAAGACCACATCTAGTTATGTCAAAATTTAGTTAAATATGCTGCGACTTGTACACTTTTACATTAAAAGTTATTATGTATGTTACATGCTCGTATCAAAGACTATCTTGTAATATGCTGTTACGTCTTATTTTTCAGAGTTCTGGTGTTGGCGAAGCAAGCGTCTATCATGCATTGGTTGTAATATATCTGGAATTCTTCGCATGGGGATTATTGACCATGCCTATTATTAGGGTATTGAATGAAACATTTCCGGATCACACGTTCCTGATGAATGGCTTGATAATAGGAATCAAAGGAATCTTGTCTTTTCTTTCTGCGCCACTAATTGGTGCTCTCTCTGACGTATGGGGTCGAAAATTTTTTTTACTTATCACAGTGGCCTTCACATGCGCACCAATTCCCCTAATGAGCATTAATACATGGTGGTTTTTTGCCATGATTTCTATCAGTGGCGTATTCGCTTGCACATTCTCAGTAGTGTTTGCATATGTTGCGGATGTAACAGAAGAAAATCAAAGATCACTAGCGTATGGCTTGGTATGTATATATATCGTTTTTGTGATTAGAATGACAAAACGACATTTACATTTTGACGATCAAATTTATTTTACAAGTATAATAATAAAAATAATCTGAGATAATGTAACTGGTTATCTAATTTATAAAATAAATTTTTTTTGCTTATGTCTCAGGTGTCAGCAACTTTTGCTGCAAGTATGATAATAAGTCCAGCTTTGGGTGATTATATTATGAAGACTTATGGAGAAAATCTTGCCGTAGCATTAGCAACTGCTATCGCAGTCTTGGATGTGTTTTTCATATTAGTGGCTGTACCTGAAAGTTTGCCTGAAAAAACACGTCCACCAGCACCTATATCATGGGAGCAAGCTGATCCATTTGCTGCTCTTGGAAAGGTAAAATACACGTACATATATGTATATAGTATATAAAAAAGAAATCTATAAATACATAGCTATTTTAAACTTACTTTGTAGGTTGGAAAAGACCATACTATTTTAATGCTGTGTGTTACTGTGTTCCTGAGTTACCTCCCTGAAGCAGGACAATATAGTTGTATATTCGTTTACTTAAAATTGGCTATGGGTTTCTCTACTCTTATGGTAGCAATATTTATTGCCGTGGTGGGCATCCTGAGTGTAGGAGCGCAAATTGTATTAGGATCCTTAATGAGAACACTCGGCAGCAAACATACTATAATGCTCGGTCTGTTATTTGAAATGTTACAGCTCATGTGGTATGGATTCGGTTCACAAACATGGTAAATCACTTTTTTATTTGCATTATAACAATGTTACTCTATTAATTATGTATTAAAATTTCAATAATAATTAAAACGACACGATGAAAATAGTATGCCAAATCTTATCAAGCATTAATTATTTCAAGGATGATGTGGGCTGCTGGAGTACTTGCTTCTGTATCAAGTATTACATATCCTGCAATTTCTGCATTTGTATCTATGCATTCTGATGCTGATAAACAAGGATTGGTGCAAGGTATGGTAACTGGGATGCGTGGTCTCTGCAACGGACTTGGACCTGCTATGTTTGGTGTCATATTCTACCTTTTTCACGTTGATCTTAATGATGACACACCCAATCTCCCCTTGAAACCATCGTTTGTAGATGAAAACAACAGAACGAGAACTAATACACATCTTGACATAATGCCTCAGGTACATACATTATATTTGCAGGTAAGCATAGCTTATTTTTGTTAGCCTATCTGTTTAGTAAGTTTTATACATACAGCATTGAAATTATTGAAAAATAATAGCTTTAATGTTGAAAAAAGAATCGATATGCTTATGTCTATATATAAATATATAAACAAAGTATTTTATTATATATGTTAATTTTAAATTAAATCAAATATTTGTTACATTTCCAGCTTGTACCAGGGCCACCGTTCGTATTTGGTGCGTTACTTGTGATCTGCGCGCTACTAGTAGCCGCATTTATTCCCGAATCAAATACAATGTCAACAGGATCGTTGCATCACCCATCCACTTCCCGGAGGCCCTCCGGTAAATACGCATATCAGAAATGTACGTTACAGGTTGTCAAATATGCTAAAATGCCAAATATGTTTATGGTGATGGGATTCATCGAAAATTGTTTTAATTACGATCTTTATCGACTTGTCGAATGAGCATAATGAGATTTATGCGAAAAATTTTACTTACGAAAATCGTGAGATACATACAGCAAAAGTTTTACAAGTACCATGTTTTACTTATTGTATTGAACAATGTAAAACTCAAAGTGCTTATTGTTTTAGGTTTGTCCTTGGACGTTCAATATGAGGCAGACCGAGTAGGAAGTGGAAGAGGAAAGATCGGTCCGCTATCACCACTAGTCGACAATTGTAACTCCGCCGCGCTATAATGTCTATTGAAAAATGTAAGACAAGCCATATAGTACACGACGAGAATACTTTAGCCAAGCGGTAAAGCTTCACTCTTAATCAGAGATGAAGAGGTCGTTACTATGAAATACACCTGATTCGATCAGGCGACTGTAATAGAGTTGTCTATATTGTATTATACTATTTGTTTAAGACAGTAACTAAGCTTGATTTTAGGACTTATTGATGGAACTTAATGTTTAGGTTGTGACAAACAATTTGCACAAGCAGTGCTTGTGCGATAATACCGTGGGTTGATCTCAGAGTCGAGTATAATCGTACTGCAAGCGTGTTATGTTGCGAAAAACGTAACATTAAATTAGATCTTCCTTTTCAAGATTCTTGCGCCGACTATTCAATCAGATGTAACAATTTTATGCGAAGTAAAATCAATGACTCTTTATGCAGCTCGCCAACGGCACAAAACGATACATGAATGAAAACTGAAAATCTGTATTTTACTAGCGTTATCTTGTGAATATTTGATCCTTTACTTTGATGTCGTATCCTTTTCTTTTGTTACTAATTTATATTATCACATTTTATATCAAGTGCTAATGTAAATTGCGCAACATATTTTTGCATCTCCGTACATTCATAGCACTAGAAATAGCTTTTACACATTCCTTGTAAGCATAATTTTTATATACAAAAGCAACATTAATTGACAATTGAAAAGGATGCAAATTCTTTGAATTATATTTTCTTTTTGTACAGGTATGATATAGTAATTACTTATCATTCTTGTATGTCATAATTTATCTAATATTTATAGATCATGCGACTTGTTTTTTTTTGCACAAACTATTTATTTTAATTCATAGAAACTATAAATATAACGAGAAAGGCCTCAATACTAGGAACAAGTTATACAAAGTGATAGTTTGTCATTTAAAGACAATGGTAGACGTTAATACTATGAGTAAAATGAAATATTAAATTAATTAATTGAAAATCGATAGTTCTCTTAAATTATGTGTGTTATAATCAGAATCACATTGATGTTAAAATGAGAAAAAAACGTTTTATAATAGAATAGAACCTTGTATATATATTTTGCTTCTATTTTACAAAAATATCAAAACTTTTAGGAGAAATATGTTTTAATGCAGTAGCGCATTAATTTATATACATATAAAATTTTGATTGTTTAAATTATGCGATTTACCTTTAATTTGTGTTATTATTAGTATGTTTACGTAAAGTACCATGTTTACACAAATAATACAATCATTTAAAACTAACTTGTAAGAAGCAAATCATTTTTTTAGTTATACTCTGGATTGGATCTTAAAGTCATTATGCTCTTAAACTCGATTAGTCTCGATGAAAGCCAAAGAGTGATTAATGACAAATGCAAAATAGTCGAAGCATAATAACAATAATGTGCAAAACGTCGTTATCACAAATTAATTTCGTAAATTTTTATATTTGCACATATTCGCGATTATCTTTCGGAAAAAAAGTCGAAGCTACAACATCAATTATTTGATGGATATTTATTGGATGATATTAACAGTGAATGGTTTTATAAATAAAAGTAATAAATATGTATTTTATACATATTTAATATTAACTCCTTTTTTATATACGGTTGTTCAAAACGAAACAATTTGTTAGATATTGAAGATTTCAGTCGATATGGCTTATAATCTTTGTCGAATATATTAAAATTACGTGCGTTTTCTAGAACATAGCTGTATTACAGTAAAGTATTACAGAACGAAGTAGAAATCGTGAGCAGGTATACAGTGCAATTACGATTCTATAGTTTCTGTTTGTATTTCCTTAGAGTTACTTACGAACTCGCTCTCGTACACTGAAGTAAATATATGCAATTGTATTATAAATATACAAAACAAGCAGGAAGATTATAATATTAAGAATAAAACATAGGATAAGTCTTAACTCTATCACGAGTTAAGTAATTGTATATGTATAATGTACGATGAATGCATTAATAAAAAGTAATTATTTTTAAGATAAATAAAAGTATCACTTGTGCAAATTTCACATTTATACGATATAAAATATTGAGCAACTATATATACTCAGTTGACATATTAAACTAAAAAATATTTAAGATGATTTTATGAAAAAACTTTTATTAAAATCACATTATTTTATATACAACAATAAGTAATTATTTAAATATTTCATATTTGTATTAAAAATGTGACAAGCACCTTCTATAATAAATTGGCATACTGTTTTATAATTAATTTTTTTTTCTGTCTATAACATTTTTAATATCTTCATATTTGTTGTACTTATTTCGTTGCAATTATTCCATAACATCTAGGAGAGAGTGTTGGATCAAACAAACGTATTACAGCAACCTTGGAACACTTGATATTATTTTGTAAAAATACTATTCTGTCCAACATGATTGCTGCTTCCACTACCGAGCTCATATGTATTCTCAACATTTGAAACAGACGCAACTTTGATTCGAAGTGTATGTGATTCTGATATACTTCTTGCAATACATATGCGGGTGGTATCTAAAATCATATATTTTGTAGAATTTCTGTTGATATATTAGAACACAAATGAATAAATAACACATACCTGCTTCTTATCCATCCCGATTCTGGATAGCGCGCATTTTGCGTAGTCCACGAAATTATTCAGTGGACCACCACGCCCTACTTTAGCATTGTAATATCCTATTAACAATATTATATACATAGTAGTCGATATATTGATACAGAATAAATGAATATTAAGATTTTCGGTTATTGAAAATTTATGCCTAATTTGTACATTATATGTATACATTTGCTTTGTTCTTTAAGGCGATGATTACTATTCAGTCTTGAAATATAGTTTTATTGTAAAGCCAAAATGAAATATCAGGGATACAATATCGCGTTATTAAATTAATACATAAGATCTTATCCAATGATCGAAAATGTCAATTACTTAATTATATTTATGTTTCACTATCTATACTGACCCATTGAATGTAGAATAACTTGCAGCACAGCTCTGTAAAATAACAAAGGAGAAAGATGCTTATTATATCTACTTCTTTCGACAGATTGTTGAGCCAACATTCTGGCATTTTTACTAAAATTCCAGCGTCCACTCAATGTTTCATTCGCTAAATGATAACAGCATGGAACAACAAGAAGTAAATTAATATCCTCTGCATGTAAAAAAGCTTTAATCACAGAATGAACAAGCATTCCACAAGTGTGCAATCCTGTCAAAATGAGATTTCTATTTACACTCCAATCAGGGTAACATGTATTCACCACTTTATTATAATTAGTTGTGTCGTCTAGCTCTTGAACTATATATCGAATCTAAAAGGAATATCACAATTTTTTATAACATTATGATAAATAATAATATAAATAATAATTAAGTCAAACTTTTTTTCATAAACCTTCGTTAGAGTTTGTTTCCTTTTCTGAATTTTTTCCTGACGATTTATCGCACCCTTGTGACAAACTTGTGACGAATCAATTGCTAATACAGGAATATTAAAATGTTCTGACAAATATGTTGATAAATATGCTTTCCCAGCTCCAGCATCTATTACTAAACTATGGGTGGAAAGTGCTATTTCGGTAATAACTTTTCCAAGCACTTCAATTTCATGTGATTTCTTTGTATTCATGAGCTTAGACTTTGGATAAACACATTTGTTTTCAATCAGAAGTTCAGTGGAAAACTGTGATAATAACTTTGGCAAATCATTTACACATATAACTGCTGGACATGATTCTAAAGAAAGTGATTTTGTTAACTGTATGAAATTACTCAATTCCGAATCTGTATTGTTTTCTGCCCAGATATCGTCGCTCATGTCAGTATTTTCAAGTTCTGATCTTAATTTTTCTGGTAAGCATTTATCCCATAATCCCTCAGTGATAAAATCAACTAAGTGACAATCTATTAATTCTTGATAGATATTAATAAAATCCAACGCTTTCTCAAAGTGCTGATTATATTCTGTCATCATTGTCACATTAAAATTCGAGTTTATCTGTCTCTGGATATAGCGGACTAATTTTTGCTAGTGAACAGAATTTGGCATATTTGAATTTAATATCTTCCACAGCTTGCAGAATATTCAGATTGTCATCCTGGTGATTGGGAAGAGTACCACGAATATCTTCCAAGAGCTTCTTGGCTATCATCATCGCTTTCTCACATTTAGCATCATTATTTTGCAAATAGTGTTCCAATACTCCACTGTAATATCCTAATTGTGCAGCAATTATGCTAGCTCTGTGGTATCCGAGGTGATATCCCTTTAGGAGCTGTTCCTTGCCACTCTCAAAGCCTTCCTCGTATCCTGACTTTTGTGCGATTTCTTCCACAAACAATAAATCTTCAAAGACTTTGTTTACATCCAGATCCTTTTTTTCCTGGGACATAATTATATTAACTAAAAAAAGACAATCATAGATTATACACGTCATTATATTTCATCACACAAGAAAATATCTTTATCAGTCTATTCTTATTCTACTTACTTTAACTAATTGTTATAACACTGTACTTATTCTATATTTACTTTTTAGCTAAGTAATTGTTATAACACACAAAAGAATTGAAAAAAAACTGTTGTAAGAAAAAAAGTAGCTTCTTAATCAAATTACTGTTTGTAACAAGGGTATTAATAAGTAACAAAGTAAATCGTGATGCTTCTTAAATCAATGTGTATAGAACTATGGATACGGATGTATATAGATCTAATGCAGTGACACACGATCGTGTCGACAATGAATGAGTAATTACTATAATTATATGTGTGTATCGTGTATAAGAAGAAAACATGAATCTTCTTAATCTCAGCGAACGCAATATGACGTAAATTCAAACTTTTTTCGCGATAAAACTAATAGAACTTACACACGAGCACACAGTAATCTATGCGGTAGAATTTCTAGGTTATACGCATTATACATACATATCGCGACACTGTTGAGTTACGTCTGCATAACAGGTATAAAACGTAAATATAATGTTGCAGTAAAAACGTGTTCCACCTGATTATCTCGTTTAACTTTAATTATAATTCTCTTCTATCTGTTTCTACTTCGACGAGACCAGAAAGATGACGGATGAACGAAATTTTCGTTCGCAATATTATGAAAAGGTAACGCTCCAAAATCCACTTACTCTTTAAATCGACGCAACAATAATTATATATGTCACTGTAGTATAGTTCTGTCATATTGTCATATAATTAAAGTATCATTGCTTTTAAATGGCAGGTTGGTTTCCGCAGTGTCGAAGAAAAGAAATCTTTGGAGATATTGTTGAAGGAGCGCCCGCTTGATAAAACAAAGCTAAAGCAGTTTTGTTTAAGATTCACTGTACCTGCTATGTATAGAAACTTCTTGTGGAAAGTTTTACTCGACATTATACCAGTTTACTCGGAGAGCCAGGAATTTATAATGGCTCAGCGCAAAGCTGAATTTCAGGATTTGCAGAGAGCATTAAGAGTTGCAAAGATTATAGACGACTTTACGAAACCTCATCTAATATTTTTAGCAATGTGGCTGTTACGCAAAAGAAGAGCAAAAGTTGATATGGCTGCTCAATTGGAATCGCCGTTATACAGGTTCACATTATAGTATTCAATATTAGGTATTTCAAACTTTTAAATTAAACACTTTCATTATAAGTTTTAATTGAAATCTAGCATTTGTCTTAATAGTTTTTTTCTGTCTTGATTTTGAAGGATACTGTAGTTCTATAATTTCATAGGTATTTTGTATGAGTTCAAAAAATATTATATTATGATAGACTTATTTATTCCAGAGCTATGAGCAAAATGGCAGAGACACTGTGGTATGTGATTGATGTTGAATCAGAAGAAGAGAAATTAGTGGATATGTATTGGATATTGTCAGGACTTTTTGTCCAAGTTGAAAAGCTACAGAAAGAAGTAGGAAAATTGCAAGACTGTACATATGCATTGTTGGAAAAAGAAGACGTAGAATTATACAAGCATCTTGTTAAAATTGATGCACTTTATAATCTTCCATATGATATTTGGTTTTATTCATGTTTTGCAGGCGTAATATGCAATGGATCTATTGCTAAGTATGTATGTTTATGTTATCATAAAAACTGAAATTATATTGTAATTATTTTATGAATTAACTTTGATACTGGCAAGAGCATATCTTTTTAGGATTACTAAAATATTTATTTGTTTGTTGTAGGATATGGGATAAAATAACGGTTGGCGCATATCGAATTTTGATATTCGTTGCCGTCGTTACGTTGACTACTTTGAGGCGACTATTATTAAGATGTGAAAGCATAGATCATATATTAGATACTATCAATAATGTAAGACTACTAATTAAATTATAATATGATAATGTGATGGGCATATTTTTCAGATTTTTACATTTCGTTCTAGATAACAGAAGAAACATCAGAGGTAATAGTCAATAAAGCAATTGAATCAATACAACAAAGTGGAACAACTCAACAAGTTGATATGTATTTCACAAAGCATAGTTAATGTTTCATACATAAAAATACATTATATATTGTACAATAAAACAAGAAAATAATGTAATATATAAGGCCATAGGAGTCAACCAGGTTATTTATATTGCGCGTACGTCACATTTTCTTGTTTTATTGTATTAATTAAAGGAGTCCACAATTTACGAGTTTAATTAATTATTATTGTGTGACGAAGTTATTGATAAAATTAAATTTATCCCTAGTTTTTTTTTTAAACTTGCTTCACATTTAAATGCTATACAAAACAGAAACTGATTTTTATCATCACATATATTTTATAACTTTAATATTTGCACATTGTATCTCTGTGAAAGTAGAAATTCTGGAACTACAATATAATAAATTAAGTTTCCAATTAAAAAAATGTATTTTATTTGTAATAACAATACAATTGTTTGTAGTTCCAACTAGTGAAGAATATAATACTTAAAAATGTTCTAAAAAAAATTATTACTCAATTTTTTAATAAAAAAAATCGTTGATATATCTTAATTCAAAATCGTTTGTAAATTACAAAAATTAACTGTTTTTTCTGCTTATATAAATTTGTAAAATTTTCTATAAAATCATTATAAGTACCGTTTGTCAGATATAAGATTATTATCAATGAAATAACACGTGTCACAAGAACAGCTGAATCAGTGGGAAAGTTATACATATATGTGTAGTAAGAGGCATGTATTGACGATATCCTTCGACTCGTTGCCTGAGTGAGATAAATAAAACTTGAACTAGACACACAGAATTTAATTGTTTGTCAGTCCGACTAGTCGTCGAGATAAGTTCGCTTGTGATTGATTTGATCAGTGACTGCTGAGAATATATTGACTGAATTACAATCTATGTAAGAATATAATAAAATTCATTTTTTTAAGTTTTTGCTATTATTATTTTAACGATTCAAATATTAATCAAAGATTTTTCGAAAAGAAAAACAAATACGATTTAATTATTATTATTATATAGTCTTTTATGGAAAGATGAATAAATAAATAATTTGTAAATACAATATTAAAATCTAAGATATTTTAAATGTAAAATGACATGTAATATTTATAATGTATATAACACAATTATATGTTATACGTAAATTAATTTTAACCTTTATCGTCATATTTTTATAAAGTTCTATAGTTATCAAATTGGTCAATTGGCAATTCTAAAATTATCCGTCTGATATAAATAAAAAATATAGAATATACTTTGAACATTAGAGAATACGTTTTATTATAATAATATCGTTTCGAATCAAATAACAATACGTTAAAAAAATTCTTGAAAACGTATACACATAAAAAAGATGAAAATTGTAACATAGAAAAAACATAATCTTCATTTTTCTTTTCAGTTAAAATTTGAAGGGATACTATAAAATGTAGTACTTTCGGAGCTAACTAATGGGAGTTTTTCAACAAGCGACACTGAGTAGCACCGTAATCATTTCATCTTTTCTTGAACGTTATCATCCAACCAGAAATGATAATGGAATTGACGTCGATGCAACGTCGAATCAATGTCGAAATCGTCAAATTGACGTTGCATCGACGTCGATTCCATTATCATTTCTGGCTGGGTGGCGAACAAGGATGTAATGATTCGCTGCGTCGCTTTTGTGTCTTTTGCTGGAAATGCTCCCAATCTGTGTGTACTAAAAAATATAAATAATACAAATTTCCAAACTTTTTTTTTTCAATATGTGAAAAAAGTATTTTCTCTTCGAACAGCTGCCACACATGTACTGACGCGTTTTTTAAAATATTAATCAACAAAAAAAGAAATGAGCAATAATAATATTATACAATTTTGAATACGAATTTCGAATAAATAACGAAATTAATAATTCAGATAAGACAGATGTGGCACAAACTTTCACTTCATTATAATTGGCAGAACAGCAGCTGTTGCGAAGGTTGTATATACTCAATTTATAGTGGACTACCTTAGCTTACAGCTAGAAAAAGTTCTAATATTAACCCTCATTTACTGTATTGAGGTATGGCATACTTAAAGCGTCTGATATATATATATATATATAAAGCGTATGAAAATCACGCAATATTTATAGAAATTGGAAAGTGAGGGGATTGGGAGGGGAAAAACGTTAAAATGTTTAATGATCCTGTTCCTTACCTAACGTCGTCAGTTTCATCGTCAGTTTATGTAAAGAAGTGATATTGATCGCGTTTTTTCAAAAAATCGCGCAATTTAACTTGCTGAAATAAATATACTTACACGGAATCTATTAACATTTTTTTTTATTAAAATATACATTTTCGCAACTATTCATTCCTTTTGTGCTTTTATTTTTATCTCTACATTAAGTATAATTAATAATTTTAATAGTTTTGAAATAAGTGTTTTTTATGGTTTCGTGATTCTTTGAGAAATTCTCTTTCGTTTATTTTTAAATATTTTTTGTAATTTACAGTTTTTGCCAACTCTACTTATATTCCAGAATAAAGATTTTATACAATATTTTAACCAGCATCGAAAATTAGAGACACTTGAACATCAACTGTATTTCCGTGTGATAACGACGGAAGTGAAAATACGTGTAGTAAAAGTGAGTTTAACAAGGAAGTAATTTACGCGATGGAACCATTAAGGAGAGTGGTGTTGCAAAATATCAAAAAGTCATCAAAAACATTACTATTGTCCCAATTTCAGGTAATATAATTAATTATTTAGTACTAACTTTATGATTTTATCATAATTTTATCACAATTGTATATGTACCTTAAATTAGATTTTGCTGTATTAAATTATATGTTTTTAAAACAATCTCTGTAATCCAATTTATTTATATATAGTTACTTTCTTATAATTAAAATACTTGAAAAGGAAAATACTTAAAAGTATTTTAAAATTAGAATTGATTTAAATGTTTCTTCTTTTTTAGCATTTTCAATGCCACAGAACACTTACATCCCAACAAGTGTTTGATCGTGAATCTAAATACGGTGCTCACAATTATCATCCACTTCCCGTGGCTCTGTGTAAAGCTCAGGGTGTCTTTATGTGGGACGTTGAGGGCAAACGATACTTTGATTTTTTAAGCGCTTATTCGGCAGTTAATCAAGGCCACTGCCATCCTAGAATCTACAAAGCAATGGTCGACCAAGCGAAAACATTAACTCTGACGTCCAGAGCATTTTATTCAGATCTCTTAGGTGAATTCGAGGAATATATTACGAAACTATTCAGGTATAAAAAGTATTGATTTTAATTTCTAAACTCATGCCGATAAGATAAATAATGACGTAAAGAGATCTAAAGTATAAAAAACCAGTGATAAATTTATATATACAGTGTTATTTAGAAAATCTAGTAATATAAATTATTGCATTCTTGATATTAAAATTAACACAATATAGACATATTAATATATTAATTTAATAAACATTACAATTTCTTCGGCTGTTTCGGCCATATTTTGGATAATGTAAATTGTAGATAATAAAGGAGCTCGTCTCTCACTTAAACAGAGATCTCTGGTCAAGTCATATTCTGTATCATTTCGCAGCATTCGTTAAATTGCGAAATTGGTTAAATTAAACTGGCCTTCAATTGCCATAAGTGTAAGACACCAGCTTGAATTCCAATACAATAAATAAAATTTGCCTTCATAATGTATGAAAATCAGAAATTCGAAAAATCAGAAATATAAAACTTTTTGAACAAAGCATCAGAGAAATAATTGTTTCATCAATCTTATGACAATTAATTGAAGGACAGATTATTTAACCAATTTTTTTACAATTTAACGAATTCATTACTGCGAAATGATACTAGGCTTCACCATTTGAGCTCAAGATGGACGAAATCTATATCATTCTTGTTCCGAAATGAGGCTAAAACGTTCGAAAAAACTGTAATATATTTTATTAAATGAATATAATTAAAATAATATAAGATAATAATTACGCCAAGTACCGCGCTGTATCATTGTTGCCTATATTATTATTTTTAAAAAATCTAGTTAATATTTAACGTACCAGAAGTTATACCAGGAAATAGAATCTTAAAAGCGCCAGACATCCAGATTGATAATATTACAATTATAATAAAATGTCTAATAACACTTTATTTTCGTCTCTTGACTAATAAAACTAATTATTTATTTAATAACATTTTGTTCGTATCATAATTGATGAATCAAATATCTTTAAACAACAAAGCAATTTCGTAATGCTTTTTATAGATGCTTCACATATTGAATTCATTTATGTATTTAAAACATTTCATTCCTTTAGCTATGACAAATGGTTGCCGATGAACACGGGCGTGGAAAGTGGTGAAACGGCATGCAAATTGGCACGCAGATGGGGATACTCATGCAAGGGTATACCGCACAATCAGGCCAAGATAGTGTTTGTAGAAGGCAATTTCTGGGGAAGAACTATGAGCGCTGTTTCCTCGAGTACCGATCCTAGCAGTTACAATGGCTTCGGACCGTTTATGCCGGGCTTCGAGCTCATACCCTATGATGATCTCCCGTCGCTTCAACGAGCTCTCGTCGATCCAAACGTCTGCGCTTTCATGGTGGAGCCTATCCAAGGTGAAGCTGGCGTTGTGGTTCCTAAGGTAAGCTTTTCTGTGCGAAAGTTTAAAAAGAAAGCTACCTTTGAGCCTTATCCTCCAAATTGTCTTTGTTCCTCGAAAAGAATGGATATCTGAAAGAAATTCGAGAACTTTGTACGAAAAACAATGTCCTGTGGATTGCGGATGAAGTACAAACCGGCTTAGCCAGAACGGGGAAGCGAATCGCAGTGGATCATGAAAACGTGAAGCCGGATATTCTGATGCTCGGTAAAGCACTATCCGGAGGATTTTATCCCGTTTCCGGGATACTAGCGAATGATGAAATTATGCTCACAATCAAGCCTGGCGAGCACGGATCTACTTATGGTGGTAATCCTTTGGGATGCAAGATTGCTCTCGAAGCGCTTCGTGTCCTAGAGGAGGAGAAACTTGCCGAAAATGCGGAGAGGGTCGGCCGCTTACTCAGAGACGAGCTTAACAAGCTGCCGAAGGAGATAGTCACTTTGGTAAGAGGAAAGGGCCTCTTGAACGCTATCGTCATAAATAAAAAGATCGACGCATGGAATATCTGCGTAAAGCTGAAAGAAAACGGGCTCTTAGCGAAACCTACGCACGGACACATTATTCGTTTAGCACCACCATTAGTTATCACGGAAGAACAAATACGCGAGTGCGCGGATATCCTTTCTAAAACCATTCTTACATATATGTAATAATATTTATAATACTATTGTATTATATCTTTATGACATATATATATATAACTTTCTAATAAAAATGTGAATAATAATTACAAAAAATAATTTGTTAATTATTTTGTACTTATTATATCATTTTCTTAATTTACACAATATACGTATTCTATATAATTTCAAGGTGTAATGTTCATATTGTGGTTGTTATCTTGATAATTCGTGCAACGAAGTTAATCTACATCATTAATTCATATGCTATATCGAAAAAGGTCATCAGATCGAAATTTTATCAAGTGACAAACTGCAAGAAGTTAAATCGGTCATGAGGGCATTGACGTATAAAATTATTGATATTTTTTACAAATAATAAAATGTTGTAAATAAATACAATTATTTTGTCACTTACGGTTATATTCTGTAAGCAAAACCCAAATAAGCCATTTTGTATGTGGTCGTATTATCATCTCGAAAGATACATATTTAACGTAGCTAATGAGTTATTCATTTTTGGGTTATTAATAGCTTTGTACGATAATCTCTACGCAAATAATGTACTTCTAATACAACGACGCGAGAGATAACATGTGTTGAAAAACATATAAGCATGGCTTGCAACTAGGAAGTAATTCCCAAATAATAATTCGTAAGATCATTACATTTTATTTCGATTAATTAATTTTTTTTATGTTGCGAAATTATTTAGACTAAACATTTTAATAGATCAGCTTGTTGTTTAAAGTAAAATTACTTTATCATTGTCAAATTCTCTTAATAAAGTTTTAAAAAGTACTTAGAAATTATATTAACTAAAAAAATTTTAATTCAAATCCAATGCAACGCAGTTACTTATTATGTTTTGTTTATTGTTTTTCGAAATTCTTTCAATCTTGTATGTGCATTATATTGTTTATCGTGATTCGTTTACTTCGGCATGCTGGCGCCTTTACTTTATATTTTTATCAGATATGATTCCGTCTGTAAGGGTATTTTATTATAAATCCCTCTGTGTTGTCGCAATGTTTGTGTACCGAGCATTATTTCAGTAAATAAGTAATCATATCCGTCGTATCTTTTGCCATATCTTCTTTCACCTTGATATAAAAGCAAGACTGCTGGAATCATCATTAGATGCCTACTTTCCGACGTCTTACTCGTGTTAAAAAAAAAAAGGTTCGTAAATGTTTATGCGACAAAACATTCTAGCAAATATTGCAGCGACATTGCAACATTTTAACTATATTTCAGGGTGAGGAAAAATATGGCCATGCAATCTGTGAGACAAAGATTTTTCAGCATCGTAAGGGAATCGGATAAGAGAAGATTCCTGAGTTCCCAGGAAGTGATCAATCGCGATAATAAATACGGCGGTATACATTTCAAACCACTGCCGGTTGTTCTTTCTCGCGGAGAAGGAGTCTATCTGTGGGATATCGATGGAAAACGCTACCTTGATTTCCTGGCAGGATTCTCAACTGTCAACCAAGGTCATTGCCATCCGCGTCTGGTGAAAATAATCAGAGATCAGGCTGGAAAGTTGTCGCATACATCAAGAGCCTTCTACTCGGAACCTCATGGCGAATTAGGAGAATATCTAACAAAACTCCTTGGATGGGATCGATTTTTACCTATGAACACAGGTGTGAACTCGCTTTAAAAAAAGAATGAAAATATATTCAAAAACAATTAATTTTGGTACCTCAATAGTTATTGGAAAAAAATGTTGATACTGCTTGCGATAAGCACAAGTTTCTTTATTGTACAAGATAGAAGAGTTGGAACATTTATTATTTCCTTGTTGTAGGTGTTGAAGGAGGTGACACGGCCATAAAATTGGCCAGACGTTGGGGATACAGAATCAAAAAAGTGCCGAGTGGCAAGGCTGCCATTGTATTCGCCAAAGGAAACTTTTGGGGACGTTCATTGGCGGCTTTATCGGCTTCAACAGATCCAAATTGCTACACGGATTTTGGACCTTATGTACCTCTTTTCGAGAAGGTGTCATATAACGATCTGCTTGCTCTAGAACAAAAGTTTCAAGAAAATCCCAATATCTGCGCGTTCATGATGGAACCCATTCAAGGAGAAGCTGGCGTCATTGTGCCAACTGTGAGTTAATACGAAAATACATAGCATCGCAAATGTTGTGTGATCATTAAACAAGTACATAAGCACTTTTTTTACTTCAGAAGATTGTGCAAATTATTTTTCTTTCTTCAATATCAACAGGAAATTGATGATATCATTATCTTTTTGTCAACAATGTACATTACTTTTACTTTCTGTTTAGGATGGTTATCTGAAACGTGTAAGAGAATTGTGCACAAAATATAATGTTCTCTGGATTGCCGATGAAGTGCAGACTGGTCTTGGCAGAACTGGTACACGTCTGGCAATTGATCACGAAGGTTACAGACCGGATATTCTTATTTTAGGAAAAGCACTCTCCGGCGGAATGTATCCGGTTTCCGGTGTCCTGGCGGATGATCAGGTATCCGAAAAAAATTAAAATATAATTTAATATTAATTATTTCTTCATTTAATATATACGACTATATAAAATGTAAGATATTTTAACAGTCATTATCATTTATATAAATTTCTTACGTTAATTTGTTGAAATTTCGTGGGCGATAACGAGATATCTCTGTTGTTGCGTAGCTCGAAATAAATCAATGTTAATCGCTTATTTGACGCGATAAGGATTTTAATCCAGACTGATCGCCTCTTTTCAGATAATGCTCTGTCTGGAAACGGGTTCCCATGGAAGCACCTTTGGCGGGAGTCCGCTTGGAAACAGAGTCGCTTTAGAGGCGGTTAAAATTCTGGAGGAGGAGAAACTTGCAGAAAACGCGGAGAGACTCGGAAAAATTTTGAAGGAAGAATTGGATAAACTGCCAAAGGACATCGTGACAGAATTCCGTGGACGCGGTCTTCTGGCCGGTCTCGTGGTAAACAAAGGTATCAAAAGTCATGAAAGAATTATTCGTATCGCTGATAAATTGGCAATGTAAAAACTCGTTGCGCGATACGAAGATAAAATACTTGTTGTGCATGTAAAATTAAAATCATATCTCGTAAACTTTATCCCATACATTTACTTACGATATAATTGTGCGTGACTGATAATAAAGAGATAAAAGAACTGTGTATCGAAAAACATTTCTGCATTATTTAACAAAAAATATTGACTTTTATTATATGTTCGGTGTGGTTTTTACTTACAGAATTCGCCGAGGGTTGGGACATCTGTCTAAGACTGAGAGACGCTGGATTGTTGTCGAGACCCGCACATGGTCAAATCATCAGAATATCGCCTCCATTAACGATCACGGAAGAGCAATTACAAGAAGGAATAAACATTCTTACTACGGTTCTCAAAAATTACAAATAAAGAACTTAAAATCACACACACACACACACACACACACACACACACACACACACACACACACACACACACACGTGCACGCGCGCACACACACACGTGCACGCGCACGCACACACACGTGCACGCGCACACAAATATAAAATTGTATGATAAATACAATTTTTATGATAAAATGGGATTACCTGTTATCGTATTATTTCAATTATTCCAAGAAGAGTGTTAAGATCTCAGTAGGTTTCTTAGAATTCTCTCTTAAATTTCTTGAAGAAGCATGAAGATAATTGTAAAAGAATAAAAGTAACAATTAATTATAATCACGCGCAGAAAAAAATGTTTATAATTATAAAACAATTTTGTATTCACAATAGTTGTTTTCACATGTTTACATGTACATAAATTACAATGTATTATGATATAAATTATATATGCGATTCATTATGCTTCTTTAAGTGTCTCGTTAGACTAAAAGACTGTGAAAACATTTGATTACACTGATTGCACTTGTAAGTCTTTGTACCAGTATGTAAATTTAAATGCCGTTTCAAATGATTGGCCAACTTGAATTTCTTACCACATAATCGACATTGGTGTTGCCTCAATGTACCATGTGAGGCTTCGTGGCTTTTAAGGTGACTCGATTGCGCAAATCTCTTGCCGCATAATTTACAAGCGAAAGGTTTCACTTTAGTATGAATTCGCAAGTGCTCGACCAAATTACCTTTCTGTACGAAACGCTTATCACAATACTCACACTTGTGTACTTTTGATGTTTTGTGTGTTCGCAAATGCATTTTCAGATTATAATTATGACTAAATTTTTTATCACAAATTTCACATTGCACACCTTTTCCGGTATGAAGTCTCTCGTGAGCTTTCAAATTTTTCAAAAGCCGAAAGCGTTTGTTACAGGTCGTACATTCATAATCCTTACTCTGTGACGTATTATTACTTTTATTATGGACCTTTATATGCTCCTCCAAGTATGATGGATATGAAAATATTTTATCACACACTTTACACTGATGTACGTTGATTTTGGTGTGTAATCTCATATGTGCACTGAGTTTGCTTTTCGATGCGTAACCTTTGCCACAACTTAAACATTTAAATGGTTGCTGACCAGAGTGAGATAGCTGATGAGCAAGTAATTTAGATTTTTGTGAAAATTGTCTCGAACACACTTCACACTGATGCTTCTTAGCATGAATATCTTCCGTGGTTTTTATGTCGAGTTGTTTATAATTATCGTCACTTTGGCATCCGTGATATTCCATCGCGAGTTGTGTGTCTTTTCCGGGCGATTTTATGAATCTCAAGTTTTCAGCAATCGATACATCGTTTTCGGAATGTATCGTTACATTTTGCATACGTTCCGAGCTGCTTTCCTGGACACCATCAAGATCTATATTTTCCGGAAAGTTTATATTCTGTATTCCATCAGTATCGTCCACGGTGGATCGCTGATACGACAAGTTTTGAATAGGATTATCCACGGAATGAATTGATCTTTCGTAACTTAAATTTTGTGGGATATGATTAGAATTCTCACAAATTTCTATGTTCTCATTGTCGCACGACATGTCAACACTCTCCGTACTATGTGTTATATTGTGACTTATCAATTGTCTTCTATTGGTAAAAGTGTGATTACACAAGGAACAATGTAAGGCACAGGCAGCTCGACTTGAACTTTCTTCGTTCAGTGACATAGCGTGCATCATATTTGGCCTAACTAACGGAGATAATTGTGTACTTGGAATGTTATCGTTTGCAAAATTTGAACTGACATGAGTAAAATTAAGATATGGATTCTGAGATTCTACAATGTGCATATGCTGCATAGGTATGTTGTCCTGAATAAATGGCAAATGGAGTCGGTTATGGGCATATAGTTCCTGATAATTCATAAATACTGCGCCGCATTCCACACATTTTAGTGTCTTATGAGAATTTTGTACAGGCATAAATCCTTGACTTTGTTGATTTTGATAGAGCTTGCAGCCAGAAACAGTAGTATATGATGTCAATCGGGATACCTATTTTTAAACATATTATTAATATCTGGCCAGTAAGCAAACTGTCCAAAGAATGCTAGCAGATTGGCTACAAATTTAATCAGAAAAGTGCAGCAGATTAGTACAATCTGCATTAAGTTCACATTTTGTCAAAAATAACTTAACAATACATTTGTTATAGAAATTGAGTAGAATCTGTTAAATACAAATTTTAGCTGCTAATCTGTCAAATTATGTACAAATCTGTTTGATTTTTGCCATCAATCTGCTGTCAAATCACATAAATAAATTCTATTTTTTGACATTTTATGACCAATCAGAAGATTAATTATGCATCTTGAATTAAGATAAAAATTACAAAAGTGAGCAAATTCACTAAAATATTTATAATTTCATTGATCAACATCTCAAGTTCACAATCAACTCTCCAGTACCTGATATAACTAATTCTGCATCAAATTTGTAACTTTTTTGCTAACAAAATTTATCAGTAGATGTTTTAGAAAGAAATTTTGTTCAAGCAAACTTGGCTATAGACTGGATATATATGTTACAATAAAAACAAAATCCTTTTACCTTCAACGCTGCTTGCCTCAAAGCCCTGTCAGCAGCACGACATTGCTCTCGATACAAAAGAGCTGATTCTGCTCTGGTGACGCAACGGTCGCACATTTTTTCAGGCAAACCGTCTCCTTGCCAGACCTATAAATATTCGCACAAAATACAAGCTTAATCTTTCAGAAACTTACATTAAATTCGAGATGAGACAAATGTGTTGCTTACTTCCAAACAAGAGAGAGATCGTAATTTAGCGGCGAGTGAGGAACCAGCCGGTCCCACGAACAAGCATACCATTTTGTCACCGTCTTCCCGCAAACACGTGCGACACAATTTGCTGATGTTCTCACTGTCGATCTCTTTCGTGACTATAAACATCTCTCCGCTGTTTGACAAACCAAAAAATGTTGCTCAATCTTGATTTTTCTTTATAGAACAGGTATCTTTAATCTGTTGTTCTAATTCTTATGATACACTGTCTCTGATCGTTTATTCGTTTTATATTTCATTCGGTCTTCTCATTAGTCATATCCTCTTATTGTTTTTAGAAATTCTACGTTTTTATTTTGACGTTTTCGCCGTCGTCCATACGGCTGTCAAATTTTGTTTCGTCTACGCCACACTAGAGATCGCCATCGACGCCATCGTGCCGCAAAACGTCGCCAATAAGACTTTAGGTCTGTTCGTGTTGTCAGAGAAATCTCTAAAAATTTTTTTTGCACCTAAAGTGAGAAACAAATGTGTGCGGCGAAATGAAAAAAAAGCGAGAAAGTGAATCTTTTCGTACATTGAAGAGAGAGAAGATGAAAATTCTACATTTTAAATGCAAAAAGTGTAAGTAATGTGAATATAACTTGAGAGAAGAAACAAAGAGTGCAAATAGTTCAACTAACAATACGTGCGAGTGGCGCGACGACATGTCTGTACCGTCTGCACGTATACAAACATTATAACAAAGTATTTTAAATAACAATGTATTTGTGTGGATTTAACATTCTTCATAGCATAAATAACAAAACAGACAAAACAGGCTAATTGAAGTTACATGTACATAATGAGTAAATTAAAAGAAATTCAAATTACAACTATTAGTTCATCATTTTACAAAAATGTATTTTTACTTACACAAGTCATATCGCCTTCGGTTGAGTTTCAACAACACTTTAAAAAGGTACAAAAACGTTTCTCCAAGATAAAAATCTTTATAATTATATTAATTTTTATATATAACACTACATTACAAATTATACATACTGTATATAATAGGAGTATTTTTTTTAAAGGATATGTTTAATAAACCTAATACAGTGGGCTTCCTGCATGTATCACATTATCTGTCATCTATATGTGACAAAAAACTATTTAAACAAATGGTTAAATGGCCAATCTTGAGCAAAAAAGATGAAGCAACATACCGTGTTGAAATGAAAGACTTCCTGTGCCACTTATCGCGAGACAATCCCGATCTTAACTTTCCATCAATACTAATAACCCATTTACTCCAGTCTGGAGGAACCAAGTTTCAAATTATTATGTGGAAACTATCTCAACTTGCTCTTAGAACTTATATGAAAAAAGAATGTATGTAATATGTGTGCTTAAGAGGATCCTAAAGTCATCTGTATTTTACCGATTTAGTAGACCTATACACACATATGATTTACGTGTCATTGACATATATATCACTACACACTACTACATCAATGTTATACACATACATATGTACAAATTTTGTAACTGATCTTTCATATTAACTATCTAAACCTAATTCTAAGTACTCAACATTGTAATCATGTAATCTCTAGTCCAAACCAAGATTGTTTTAACGTACGAAGTATAAAACTTATATATAAAGTAAGCATTAGTTGTAGTTTTCAACTTTTTATTTTTGGCAAAATCGACTCTCTCGTTTGGACTACATTATCGTTTATACTTCAATTATGGAGAAGGATTTTTTAATTTGTAAAGGCAGTTAGAAAGATACTTGGTTGAAAAAATCGATAAAACAAATTTATTTTAGAATCACCTTTTAATATATAGAAAAGAAAGTATTTTATTTTTGTACCAATTGTCATTTATCCGAATTAATTTCTTCAGTTCAAGGAGAATTGTTAAACGCACCACGTATAAGTCCAATACAGGATTTAATAATAACATATTTCAATAACACAATTGCGCAAAAATACAGTATTATGACAGAAACTCATAAAAAGATGGAGGAAACACTGAAGGCTGCATATAATTTTTTCAAGTAAATCACTATTATTTATTCAAAATTAATGATGATACATTAACTTATACAATAATCACATTATATATTTTAGCGACGAGATCGAGACATGGGATGCGTATAAATCTGAGATTTTTGACAGAAAAGAAAATATAAAAATGCTAGTTCTCGATCTGCCAGCTGATTCATTAATCCAAAAGCGATTGATAGATGTCGAAGATTCTAACATCATAAGCTGTTAGTACATGATACACGTTATTTTCCTGGTGATTTATTCATTAGCTGCGTTCTCAATGGAAAAGGAGAGAGAAAAAGCAGCTTTGCTGCTTGTAAAATTCTTTAATATGATTACGGTTTTGCTCTTATTTTCCTACTGAATATAAATATATAACAATTCATATTGAAGAATCTTACAATAGTAATTAATTATAGTAAAACACAAAGTTGCTTTCTCTGCTGAATGCAACCATTAATAACTTATGACATTTCTTCTCGCGGTACAGTATGGAAAAGAAATATTTTCAAAAAAGTCCAATATATACGTAGGAAAAATAAAGAAATGAACGAATTAGAGGAATCTTGCAATCGTTTGTGTAAACTTGTCTCAAGGATAAACTCGAATTCTGGGATAATCGAAGCAAACAAATTTCCCGAAATTTGTTACGATAATTTAGTATACACACAATGTGAGGTGCAGGTAATTGAATAAAAATTTTGTACCTCTCACAGTTCTTGCGGTTAATAATTTTCTTTTTTTTATTTTAAGCATTTAATTCGCAATTATGCGAATGGCTCCGTCGTGTTTTCTACTTTATTGTCGCTGTTACACTTTGTATTCGTGCAAATATTACATCATGAAAACGTCGCCAATTTCTCCGATCTATCGCAGTGTTTGCCATTCGTTCAGGATACTTGCAAACAGATAAAATCTTTGCGAACGCTATTCAGCGTATTGAACACAAGAATAGGCAATATGTACAAGAATGAGCAATGCAGGAATCGGAAAGTAAATGATGCTTACTTCGATTTCGACGCGAGCAATGTACACCGCTATATTTTACTGCAATCTCCGAAGATTAGTTTCAATTTTAATCAATACACGGACGATAGTCTTTTCTATGAGAAATTGTGTTCATCTCCGATGAAAGGTATTGCTCGTTAAAATTACATCATTTTGAAATTAAGAGTGAACCTCGCTAGAATTAAATTTCAGACAAACACAAACATTTATTTAAGAAGTACAAACGAAAATATCGTCCATTGTCTGAGCTACCTGCAACTTTGTCGGACTTCAGCAAGTCCTGGAACAGTATGAGCGGATGGCTGTCTCCCCGCGCACACTCCATCAAGTGTGGGCGAATTTCGTTTAAAGGAAAATCACTTTCGCCCTTGTACTTTCGATTGCTACATCACTCTAAGTTAGACTTAAAGCGTTCTAGAGGTTTGCCGCTACATTTGATATGCCTAAGTCCTTATTGTTTGACAAAAACAATAAAAATTCTGTATGCTTTTAGAAAACGTATCGCGTAATCAGAGTGTGAACTACGAGGGATTGAATCTAACACCAACAAAACGTCCCTTACAAGGAGAGCATCTAACAAGTTGTGATGACAAAATCAGAAATCTTTTTTCAAGTCCGTCATGATGCTGTTCTCGTTACATATATCCTCAAACACTAAGAAGTGACGGAAAGCACAACTAGTTATTTAACAAGAATTTGTAATATTGAGTATATTTTATTGAATAATCCTGACACTGAAAAAAAATAAATTGATAATAATATGTAAATTTTTTAAAGTTTTGACATTATTAATTGTTCAAACTTATTATTAGCATTGATTTATATTTAAATATAAGACATAGGTATGCAATATATCACACTCTGTTTCATACTATATTCATTTCATACTTCTATATTGATATTTGGTTGATTGCATGTTTCATAATGACGCAGAAGGCAATAATAGAAATAGACCAATATTATGTATTTAAAGATATGTAGATCTCGTAATTTAATAATTTTTAATTACATACACAATATATTATAATTGTCCTTTAAATTTCCCTGCACTTTTCGAATATTATATTTATTTTAATATTGGATAAGATAAATGAGATGAATTAAGAGAATTTAAAGAGATGAATTTAGAGAATCGCTATATAAACTATAATTTTCAAAAACCTAAAAAACAATTATTTTATCTCCATTCTTTACACACAAAAAAAACTCATATATTCAATACGAGATGTATAAATTTGCATTATAATCACTGATCAATAACACGCGCTACTTATTTATTAACTAACTTATTAGCATTGTGTATATAATTTTATTTTTATATCTTTCAATATACTCTTTAATTCTTGTATACATTTAACTTTTCGCACACGTCGAACACGTGTGTTACTCTCCCCCACTCTCTTATCTAATTTTGCTTTTGGAGTACACAGTTCTCAAAAAAGTTAAAACAAATATGAATGTCATTAAAAATCGTTGTATGCAAGCATTTAAACACTATGTATTATTCCATTATTATTTATATAGAAAAAAAAAGTAAAATTGAACACGAGGACGATTTGTATAACAAAAAGAATCGTAATCATAACCTTCCCAACGTTCACGAAGAAAAGTCTCGAATATACCGAAGTGCGAGAGTGCCTGGATTGGAGTACATTGAATGCACCTGCATCTGCCGCAGTTATTTAAATCCGGTCGGAATCAATCACAGCGATGTCGCAGCGAGTGAATACAACAAAGCGATAACTGTAGTAGATCCCGGCGGATCATATGAGGAAAAGATAGAAAAAGGAAGAGAGAGGTAGGGGAAAAAACACAAAGAGAGAAGAGAGAGAGAGAGATAAGAGAAAATGCATACGCGTCACGCAACATGGCGGTAATCCTATCAGCTGATAGCATCCGCCGCTGGGATGACGGGCCGTATTTTGGTTAATCGGGTTAGATCGCAATAGGTCGCCCCTCTTCCCCTATCGCTTTGTCACCATCCTCGCCGTCGACAGCAAGGCAGCAAGCTGCGCGTATTGGCCTACCTACGCTACGTTACGTGTGCGTTAATACGTGTGATCCGGATGACGCATCGACGACGATGCTAACGTATTTCTCGCACGGTGGCACGTATACGTATAACCGTAGCAACCGGGAGAAACTAAGAACGGGCGCGCATCGCTGACAGGTAGAAGGCCAGCCAGAAGGCAGCACGCGGTAATGTCGTAAGAGTAGCAATCATTCATCGGTACGGAGCAGAGAAACCTGACCCCGAGTGCGAACTCGGGAGGAATTAACCGGAGAGCGAGGTCCGCTTTGATCCTCGCGGAGCGGGATCGTCGTCACGGGAGCGAGCAGTCTGTGATGAGCGACTCCGAACAACGGCAACTGCACGTGCCTTATCGAGAGTACCATAGCCAGAATAATAGCAGCCCGGCTACCACCGCTGCAGCTGCCACTGCCGCCGCCGCCGCCGCTGCTGCCGCTGCCGTTCTGGTGGAGACCGATGCGCTGGTGGATCTGTCCATCGCGCCTGTCAACAGCAGCAGTAGCAGCCACAATCAGCGTCTGCCGTTGCACAACGCCGATCAGCCGCCGTCGCCAGCTGACTTGCTTCCCGACGTCGAATTCATTCCTGGTTTAAGCAACGACCAAACTCTAGCCATAGATTCCTCCGGGATCGACCGGGAGAGCCAGCCTCTCCTCGGTCGCTTGGAACTCGACGTCACGTTTAATAGATTTCCAGGTTTGTTCAGCGGCAACGCACAGTGTTGTCTCCTTACTTTCCATAGCTGTGTTCCATACTTGTTGATGGATTCATGATATCTAGTGACCTTGTAAGAATTATCATACTTATCACTTATAAAATTACCTTTGATGCGTATACTTGTAGATGATCCACAGTTCTCAGAACTGGTGTGGCAGGCTGAATGTGCAATAGACAATGGAGTTTATCCAGAAAGGATATACCAAGGTTCCAGTGGGAGTTATTTTGTCAAAAATCCTGCAGGGGTAAGCTCTAACTTCTATCTGCTAAAAAATAACAAAGTTAGGTGATATCGTCACTTCTGATTTAATAAAGTATAGCGATATACAAGTGATTCCATACATGATATGTAAATGATTCCATACTGTGTTTTGTCAGAAAATTATAGGTGTGTTCAAACCAAAAGATGAGGAACCTTATGGCAGATTGAATCCAAAATGGACAAAATGGATGCACAAGCTATGCTGTCCATGTTGTTTTGGCAGGAGTTGCTTGATTCCAAATCAGGGGTACTTAAGCGAAGCAGGTGCCAGTCTAGTCGATCGAAAGCTGGGCCTCGGCATCGTACCGAATACTAGAGTCGTGAAACTTGTCAGCGAGGTATTCAATTATCCTCGCCTAGACCGTCAGAAGGCGCGTATGAAGCAAGCTATCATGGACCAGTTCCCTACAGTGGGGTCACATTTTAATCGTATCGGTCTACCGCCGAAAGTTGGTTCCTTTCAAGTTTTTGTGGATGGTTACAAGGATGCTGATTACTGGCTGAGGCGATGGGAAAGCGAATCCATGCCAGCACGCTTAAGTCGAGAATTCCAACTTCAGTTTGAGCGTTTAGTCATTTTAGATTATATCATCAGAAATACAGACAGAGGTAAATATTAAAGTCTCTTCTGTCTATAGTAGAATTAGTTACATGATTTCTTTTTTCACGATTGATTTTTCGTTCATAGGTAACGATAATTGGTTGATCAAATACGATACTAGCGTTAGCAAGAATGGATCTGAACAGGGTGAAGTGAAGATCGCAGCGATCGATAATGGCCTGGCTTTCCCCTTTAAACATCCTGATTCATGGAGAGCGTATCCTTATCACTGGGCATGGTTAACTCAGGCGAAACAGCCGTTCAGTGAAGTCACGAGAGAACTGGTCCTGCCGCAACTCTCGGATCAGAATTTCGTACAGGATCTTTGCGACGATTTGTATCAGCTGTTTAAAGTATGCTGTATATATTATTTGAGACAAGCGTATCGTATTCCGTTTGTTTTTGCAACAATAATCTCACACAAGTATAATTTACTCATTTATTCCCGCAGCAAGATAAGGGCTTCGATCGACATCACTTCGATAGGCAAATGAGCGTGATGCGCGGCCAAATTTTGAATCTGCAACAAGCTCTAAAAGACGCTAAAAGCCCTGTGCAATTGGTACAAATGCCGGCTGTAATTGTAGAAAAGTATATATATATTTTTATTTGTTGCTCCTATATTTTTAGATATATGGCAATGTTATCATGCTCTTACAAATATCTTTGCTCTAGGGCCAAAGGAAATGGCACTCCTAGGTTGTTCTCATTCTCTGACACATTTACCCAGCGCTTCCAGAATAAGAGTCCATTCTTCTCCTGGTGTTGAAAACGAGAACTCATGACTTGAATCGAGTGTTCGTGAATAAGTGTCAGTGGTATCAGTGTCATTGTCCTTTCTGCCGCGAAAAGTGTTATTACTTATTTTTCTAAGTTCATTCTACCTCTCTTAAGTTTTATCTCTACAATGCGGCTGCAATTTGATCGGGAGGACGCGGTCATTCTTTCTAGGCTATCTTGTATTTATAATCTCTTTCTCTCGGTTTAAGCGGGATATAAGATATTCGTACAACTATATTGTATACAGTAAATATATTACATATATAATGTTAAAACACATTTTCTTTTAATCGCTTAATAGGCGAACAAAATGTAAAAAAGGGCGCGTATGATATTTAGATATAATATATATTCCATGAACACGAAAAAGATACATATGCAAGTTGTACGAAATGTCTCTCGTCTTCCACACGACACACACACACACACACACACACACACACACACACACACACACACACACACACACACACACACACACACACACACATACGACACACAAATAACACGCATACACATTGTAGTTGTGCCAATCGGTACTGCAAAAAGAATCTGCATAGATCAATACCTAAAAGAACGACTAATGTCATATTACAGTTTCAAAGTTGAGAGATAAGAATATCTTTGTATTTTAATATATGATATTTTCTTTCACCTATTTCCACACGTTAAGAAGGTGACATTAGTTATTCTAATCTACGTGTTGATTACTAGACACTTAAAACACTGTATAAATTTTTTGGTAATTAAACAACTGTGATGCTTGTGGTACGCATGTCACGTTACGTCACATATGTACTGACAACAGCAATTCCACGTAGTTATATATAACATTAAGTACAAATGAAATTGCTACTGGAATACATAGATAAAATAGAATTTCTAGCGCAATTTTTATGAAATTGTATTTTGCCTATTTTCTCTTTGTAATACATGCAGTATCGTGAGAAAAATAGAATCATGTGAGATTTTATGCAAGTTTTAAAACTGATATCACATACCATGGTGTAATTCTTACACCATGATTACAACGACATATCTTTACGACGAAGATAACACGAAGTTAGTTCTAAACCATGTGTCAGACGTACATATTAATCTGATTTTTAAAATGTAATGAAACTTCGACTCCAAGATATTATTTTGAATATTTTAATATTTATTACGACCATTTATGCAGAATAATATTGATGCAATTGTGCATTGTACATATATACAATATTACTATAAGAAAGGGGATTGAAGCAATAT